CCTGAACTATAGGGACACTTTTCTTGGCTGTAAGAGATGGGGTTTTTCCTTATGTTCAGAGAAAGAGATGGCATAGATACATTCATTGGAAGCAGCTACAGTCATGAGACCAGCACAGCTGTTTGACAGATGCTGTTGAATATTAATATTTATTATTGATTTATGTTTTAGTTAAGCAGCAGTTATTCCTAAACCAGCTATATATCCAAATCACCACACAGGGCCTAGGATTTATTTAGTTAACCTAGAGCATAATAATGCTGGGCAATAGTCATTCCATGCTAAATCTCCAAGCCTGCATAATTTCCTACCATTCAGATTTTACACATTATACTTGCTTTTAGTCATATCTTACGTTCAGTTCATCTCTCCTCATGGTTCCAAGTCCTGTCCTGCCGATCTCTCCTCTTTGACTCCTCCCACTTGCTTCTTTCTCCTCCCTTCTGGACAAAGATGTCCCACCCTATTCTTCCCATTGCTCAGCATTGGCTGGTTGTTTTATTGACAATACAAGAACAAATGGTAGCATGTTTACACAAACTTGACACAGGTGATGCTTAGAAGAAACATCACAATGCAATGTCCTGATTGAAACCAGATAGTGGGGTGGAGAAATCAGCATGTGAATGAACTAGGGTAAATTGTATACATTCCACAAGAACATTATACATTATTCCAGCAGAGCTGAGTGGATTGCTATGATTACTGGCCTTCTATCCATAACTTTTGGATTTCTGTCTCTGCATATTGCATTACTTGGGGCTTTCTGCATTATGATTCAATTTATGTACTTTCCTGAGCGGGGGGGGGGGGGGGGGACGTATCTGAGTCTTTATAGAAAAATTCTAAAACTAACTTTAACTGGTCACTATTTGGATGTCTTCCTTATGACCTGGAGATCATTAAGCACAGATACGCACATAGATAGATGAGGCCATTACTCCAGGAATCTTCCAGGAGTATCTGCCCCTGAGAAAACTCAAGCAGTGTAATTGGTGCAGGGTAAGCGGAGACAATGGACAATAAGATACAGATTCAAGGCCTTTTTTTGTTACAGGATTAGAGTTTCCTGAAAATGCAGTTTAAAGATGGGGAGAGGAGGCAGTATGCAAGGTACAGCCCTGAAGGGGTAAGACTCAGTAAATAAAACAGATTGACTAAAATAAACTTTTAGTACTTTACAGCATAGATGATGAAACATATAGTAAAAGAAGTTACGTAGTAGTAGTTTCTGCTCATAAATAAGGCATTTTGTTTGTCCAGAGTGCTCTAGATTACAAAAATTGTCAGCTTATAAGCAGGCTGGCATATATTAAGTGTGTTTGCTTTGGAGGAGACATTCTTTAGAATCTTTACGTTAGAGCTATAGAGATAATAATAATAATAATAGTTATAATAAAATCTTTTCTGTTTGCATCTTCTGCTTGTAACTGAACTTGTAACCCTGGATATATAATGAAAAAATCAAACACTCTGTACCCCTTGGATAGTCACTTGTCTGTCCTTGTTTTGTGAAAATTGTATAAACAAAGAAGCACCTGGTTACTAGGATTCAGAGTCACGTAAGGGGGCTGATTGATAGACAGCCAGAGCTGCTAAACCTCCTTGCCCATTGCACCTGGTTCATTCTCTACCCTTCCTGACTCCTTATCTCCCCTGAGGCCTTCCCTGTCAGTAAAGACCCCCTGACTCTTCAGTGCTAGGGAAGGTTCTTCAAAATGGCCTTCAGCATGCCCCTGTAATTCTGAGATGCAACTTGAAACAAGGGCTCCTTAATTCACTATCTGGAGAAATGCGGAAACGTTTTAAAGTATTTAATATCACTATTTCACCCCCTTTTATTTTTGTATTACAGGGTCTCAAGTGTCCAGGTTGGCCTCAATTAAATTCATAATGTAGCCAAGGATGACTTTAAACTCTTGATTAATGAGTTCCTATGCAGATTTCTTTTTTAAGAAAGTGTCTCACTCTGTCACAACTGATACTGCGAAACTCTCTGTAAGACCAAAGTGTTCTCAGAATCACAGAGATCCATATGCCTCTGCCTCCTGAGTGATGGGATCAAAGATACATGCTAGTAAATTCAGAAATGGTGAATGGCTTAGACAGTGTTTTATTGCTGTGAAGAGACTCCATAACCATGGCAACTCTTGCAAAATAAAGGATTACACTGTGACTTGCTTATAGTTCCAGAGGCTTAGTCTGTTTTCATCAGGCACAGAAGCCTTGTAGCAGGCAAGCAGAGAAGATGCTGGACAAGCAGCTTACAGTTTAACATAGATACATGCAGGCAGAGGAAAGAGAAAGAGCTGCTGGCCCCTGGCTTAGGTTTCTGAAACCCCAAAGCCCAGCTATAGTGTCACACTTCCTCTAACAAGGTCACACATACTCTAAAAAGACCATGTCCCCCAATATTTCCAAGCAGTGTCAACCCCTGATGACAAAGCACTCAATTATATGAACCTATGGGGGGGGGTAATCTTATTCAAACCGCCACAGTGGGCATCTCATCAGTCAGCATATATTTGAAGAAAAGATTTCTTCCTTACATATCAATTTTTATCTGCCAAAAGATTATCAGGGAGAATTAGGGGCCTTATGACTTCATTGATGAGATGTTTATGGGACCAATCTTCTGCAGCTGATTGTTAAATTCTAGCAAGAACTCTAATGTTGAATGGTGCCTACAGGTGCTCACAGGTTGGTAGATAGTAAGTAATCAACCTCTGATCCATGACCAGACCCTCACTGTAGGATTCTAATCAGAAGCTGTACCTGTTAGCCATGACCTCAGTTCTTCACTGGTAGGTTCTAGGCAGGTGTTCTACCATTGAGGTGCAGGTACCCCCTGTAGCTCACTGGGGGGTTCTAGTCAAATACTATGTATTAAATTGTGCACTGGTCATATTGTTTAAACAGAGAAATTGTGAACCTAATCATACACTAAATATGGCAGTTAGTCTTCGTAGGAGATTTAGTGGCCATATCTGAATATTCAAGCAAACATTCACAAAAGACAGAAAACATAAGTCATTTGACTTCCTGAACATGTGCTATCTTACTCAAAATAATTGCTTCTAGTTCTAACCATTTACCTGATAATATCACTTTTCTTGACAAATAATTTTCTCTTGTGCATATATTAGTTATTAATTCATTCTTACCCAGTAGTGGACTGTATGAGGTACCAAGAGACTAGCTTTGCAGGACATGCAAACTGGTGTAATTGTGACCAACCTCTTTCTGATAGGACTTAAGTCCCGCTTTACAAGATAACACCCAATCATAGCACCATTATTAGGCCAAGAACTTATACCTAGATGGGCCACAGGCTCCATGGGAGAGCCGAATATTCTTCTTCTAAATACACAAAATAGTAAGCCAACCCTTAATGTCTTATTGTTATACTTATAGACCATTTCGTCTCCCAATCTTTATCAGAGAAGTTCCTATCTGCAATATATAGAAACTAACACAGAGACCCGTTATTAGCCAAGATGTAAGGAATAAAAAAACTCAATATTGTGTAGCCATAAATGGAACATCTACATAATTCTCCTCACCACCACCACTACAAGGTTTAAGGATCAAAGCCAGAAATGACAACCAAATAAGATAAGATAGTGTCTTCCAGACAAAGCAGGATAACTACACATGTGAAGTCACAGTGGCTCTACTGTCATTCACAAGCTTTCTACAGACTGAGCACAATTTCCCAATCTAAAGAGAGAGGTGCTCATGAAGGCTTCCTAGCCAAAACGTTGATAGTTTGAGAGAGATTGAGAGAGAGAGAGAGAGAGAGAGAGAGAGAGAGAGAGAGAGATCTTGGGGACTGTAGCCCCGGTGATGTGATCACACGCAGGAACATGGAGGCATTACAAACTGGACTTGATTGTTTATGAATAATAGTGAACAGAGAGTTGGATGAGCAGGGGTAGAGGAGTGAATATTATCAGAAGACATTGCAAAAATTACTAAAAGAAATAGTAAAAATCACAAGAATGCACTTCCTCCCCTAAGTGAGGGCCCAGTGGCCAGCATTAGGCGGCCTAGCATGTCCCAGATCACCCTGAGACAAGGCTGCAGTTGAAATCTCTAGGTCCAGAAGTGGGCCCCTCGGATGTCAGCACACCTGCCAATACCCAAGAATGGCAACCAGAGCTTAGCCAGCCATTTGGAAAAAGAAATACAATCCTTAGCGTTTCTTAGAAATGCGGAGAAACAAACTCAAGATCCATTATTCCAATGACTACAGTTCCCTGATTTGTTCCTAAATGGCAAATCTGCCAGAGACAAACGTATATTTACTACCCATGAACTTGTCTGATTTTATCAAACCCCACGCCTGGCAGGCACAACCCAAGGTTCCTGTTCTATAAGGACAAAACATCTCTCCAGTGGGGGATCCATGCTCTTACACCTCAGAGACCCTGTAATGTCTATTGGCTCTTCCAGGCTGAGATGCTGTTCTCTATTCTAGTGAGATAGGCTGGCCGTTTGCCTCTCAAAAACTTTTTTTTTTTTGTAACCTCTTGTTCAGAGGTTTCATGTTCACATAAAGAATCCAAAGAAGAAAGTTCAAGACAGAATGACCAGCAGTGCATGCTGGGAGACTTACTGAAGAAGGACTTGGAAGAGTAGGAGTCAGTCTGTTTACACCTTTAGAGAAACAGGAAGAAAATATAAACCCTGGGTCTCGACAACAATACTAAAATCTGGATTCATGAAATATTGGGAGAAATTTGATTTTCAGCCTGGGATGGCTTCTCTGTTCTAGAAAGCAATTAGAAAAACTTGTCTTAAGATAGAGAACGTCGCCCCCTACTGGCTGCTCCGAAAAGCCATCTTTGCATTGTTCCCGGGCAGCGCCTTCCCCACCGCCTCCTCCTCCACCCTCCTCCTCCACCCGGGGACTCCGGACTCCTGCAGCTCTCTCGCCAGAGTCCTTGAACTCACTTTCTTTCTCACTCTGCTGCATCAGACCACCGGCGTGCCTCACCATGTCAGACGCCGAGACCACCACCAAGGACCTGCAGGAGAAAAAGGAAGTTGTGGAGGAGGCAGAAAATGGAAGAGAGGCACCTGCCAATGGGAATGCTAATGAGGAAAATGGGGAGCAGAAGGCTAAGAATGAGGGAGAGGAAGAGGACAAAGGTGGGGAGGAAGAGGAAGAAGGTGAGGGTGAGGAAGAGGACGGAGATGAAGATGAGGAAACTGAGGCTTCTACGGGCAAGCGGGGAGCTGAAGATGATGAGGATGATGATGCTGACACCAAGAAACAGAAGACTGATGAGGATGACTACACAGCAAACACGAAAAGCTAAACTTAAGACCACCATGACCTGTTCACCCTCCATTTCCTGTCTGAGAATTTAAACATGGCCACCTTCGGGTAGAGAAGCAGGCCCCGACCCACAGCGGCAATGCTACCCACAGAGGACACCACAACATGCATTTACAAGAGGGAAGAAAAAGAACCAAACTGCCCAGGCCGTCTTTTTTTTTTTTTTTTTTTTTCCTTAAAGATATTTTAAGAGGAGATCCAAAGAGGGACAAGATGGCGGCGCCAGGAGAACACTGCATCTGAGGAGCAGGACAATATTTTCCATACAGCCACCAAGAGACTGAACTCTGGGCCCTAAAACAACAGCAATTGTGTTTCCCAGGTGGGAGGAAACCCCCACGGTGTGGGAATTAGTCCGGTCCACTCTCAGGTCACCCAGCCAGAACCAGGAAGAGATCCCAGGTTGCGCAGGCAATAAGTCGCCGGACCAGAGCTACATACCTGTGTGTCCCGATCACCTTCCCAGGCTGATCGGTGGGCAGAAAAAACACTAGAGACTGGGAGTCCCTGTCTCGAGAAAACCCCACAGGGAAGGAAGGAAATGGTACTGACTTGGGTCACCCAGTCTTTCCCTGGAAAAAGTCTCGCAGATTAGAGGGTACGAGCCGCCATCACTGAACTGGGCTCCAGCCATGGGCACAGACAGAGCTATGCGCCCCAGGGCAACAGAGACTCGGGGTCACTGTAAAGAGAAATCCTCACAGGGAACGAAGCAAAGGGGATGGACTTAGGCCACCCAGTATGTCCCTGGAAAAGGTCCCCTAAGACCGGCCTAACCCAGGGACCTGCTGTGCACCAGATAGCCTGCTGTTACCAGGAGAGCGGTACCCACCCGCCACAGATTACTGCTTAGGTACTGGTGCACAGAGCCCCAACCTCAGACCTACAAAAGCCTGGAATCCCCAAGATCAACCCCTAGATACTGCTGCAAGGGGCAACCAGTTATCCCTAACAAAACTGACCAAACTACAGGACTAACAGGTTACAGCAGCAGCTCACTAAATTTACAGCAAGAAACCCAGAAGCAGGGCAGCTGTTTTCAGGGCTTCTCCGGATGAGAGGAGAGCCCTCTTGACTAACAAGGACCACAGTTACCACTCAGGTCTCTATGCCTGAGGTGAGCAGCGGCAACTACTGAAAAACACTGGCCATCCAGTGACTACACCCAAAAAGCTGAGGAGGCTTCCTTCAGGAAAAAACATCTTCCTGCCAAGGGGATTCTCCCCACCACAGGATTCCAGGAAGAACCAGAAACTAACCACAAACACCTAAGATAGCCTAATGGGTAGAGGCCAGTGTAAAAGCTCAACCAGCAAAAGACAGAGCAATATGGCATCTCCAGAACACAGTTATCCAGGGGCAAATAGCCCTGGACACCCCAGCATAATTGAAATTCAAGAAGAAGACCTAATATCTATGCTCATGAAGAGGATAACAGAGGAAACAAATAAAATGCATAAAGACCTAGAGGAAGATAAATTCAAACAGATTATGGCCATCTGTAAAGAAATAGAGGAAGATAAAAACAAACAGATTATGGCCATCCATGAAGAAATACAGGAAGTTACAGCCAAACAGTTTGTGGCCTTTAGAGACAAAATGCTTAAATCACTGAAAGAAATAAAAGAAACAGAGGATTGTTCAAACAAACAGCTGAAGGAATTGAAGGGAAAACAGTCTGACAGGTGAAGGAAATCAACAAAATGGCTCAAGATCTGAAGATAGAATTGGAAAAATTAAAGACAACACAAATGGAGGAAATTGTGGAGAGAAAGAATTTAGGGAAGAAAACTACAGAGGTTAGCATAACCAATAGACTACAAGAGATGGAAGAAAGAATCTCAGGTGTAGAAGATACAATGGAAGAAATAGATGTATCTGTCAAAGAAAATGTTAAATCTAAAAAATTCCTGACACACACCATCCAAGAAATTCAACACAACATAAAAAGACAAAACCTAAGAATAATAGGAATAGAGGAAAAAGAAGAATCCCTGCTCCAAGGCCCAGAAAATATTTTCAACAAAATCATTGAAGAAAATTTCCCCAACTTAAAAGAGAGGCCAATAAGAATACACGAGGCCTACAGAACACCCAATAAATTAGACCAGAAAAAGAAATTCTCCTGCCACATAATAGTCAAAACAGTAACTATACAGAACAAAGAAAAAATACTAAAAGCTGCAAGGGAAAAAGGCCAAGTAACATATAATGGCAAACCCATTAGAATCACACCTGACTTCTCAACAGAGACTCTGAAAGCCAGAAGGGCCTGGACGAATATCATGCAGACCCTAAGAGAACACAGATGTCAGCCCAGGCTACTATACCCTGCAAAACTCTCAGTCCTCATAGATGGAGAAAACAAGATATTCAATGACAAAAACAAATTTCAACAATACCTACACACAAATCCAGCATTACAGAAGATACTGGAAGGAAAAATACAACCCAAAAAAATTAGCTTCTGTCAAGAAAACACAGGAAATAATTAACCTTACTACAGCAAAACAAAAAGCAACCAAGCACACAAACTTATGAACACAGCCAACATCAAAATCAAAAGATCTAACAGCCACTGATCATTAATCTCTCTCGACATCAATGGACTCAACTCTCCAGTAAAAAGACACAGATTAACAGAATGGATACGTAAACAAAACCCAGCAATCTGTTGCATACAAGAAACACACCTAAGACACAAAGATAGACATTACCTGAGGGTAGAAGGTTGGAAGAAGACTTTCCAAGCAAATGGACCCAAGAAACAAGCAGGAGTAGCCATTCTAATATCTGATAAAATAGACTTTCAACCAAAATTAATAAAAAGAGATGGGGAAGGACACTTCATACACATCAAGGGAAAATTCCACCAGAAAGACATCACAATCCTGAACATTTATGCCCCAAATACAAGAGCACACACATTTGTAAAAGAAACATTGATAAAATTTAAACCACATATAGATCCCCACACATTAATAGTGGGAGACTTCAACACCCCACTCTCAACAAAGGACAGGTCAATAAAACAGAAATTAAACAAAGAAACAATATCTCTGACAGAGGTCATGAATCAAATAGACCTCACAGACATTTACAGAACTTTACACCCAAACACAAAAGAATTTACCTTCTTCTCAGCACCTCATGGAACCTTCTCCAAAATAGACCATATAGTTGGTCACAAAGCAAGCCTCAACAGATACAAGAAGACTGAAATAATCCCTTGTATCTAGTCTGATCACCATGGAATAAAGCTGGACTTCAATAACAACAGAAATAGCAAAAAGCCTACACACATGAAAACTGAACAACTTGTTACTAAATGACAGCTGGGTCAGGGAAGAAATAAAGAAAGAAATTAAAGCCTTTCTAGAACTCAATGAAAATGAAGACACAACATACCCAAACTTGTGAGACACAATGAAAGCAGTGCTAAGAAGAAAGTTCATAGCACTAAGTGCCTTCAAGAAGAAATTCAAGACAGCTCATTCAAGCAACTTAATGGTTCACTTAAAAACCCTAGAAAAAGAAGAAGCAGACATACCAAAAAGGAGTAGACGGCTGGAAATAATCAAACTCAGGGCTGAAATCAATCAATTAGAAACAAATAAAACAATTCAAACAATCAATGAAACCAAGAGCTGGTTCTTTGAGAAAATCAACAAGATAGACAAACCCTTAGCCAAGCTAACTAAAAGGCAGAGAGACACCACCCAAATCAACAAGCTTAGAAATGAAAAGGGGGATATAACTACAGACACTGAGGAAATCCAAACAATCATTAGGACCTACTTCAAAAGTCTATATGCCACAAAATTTGAAAATCTAAATGAAATGGACAATTTTCTTGATCGATTTGACTCACCAAAGCTGAATCAGGACCAGGTGAATCAACTAAATAGTCCTATATCCCCCAAAGAAATAGAAGCAGTCATCAAAAGTCTCCCATCCAAAAAAAGCCCAGGACCAGATGGGTTCAGCGCAGAATTCTACCAGACCTTCAAAGAAGAGCTATCTCCAATTCTCTTCAAACTATTCCACAAAATAGAAACAGAAGGAACATTACCAAACTCATTCTATGAAGCCACAGTCACCTTGGTACCTAAACCTCACAAAGACTCAACAAAGGAAGAGAATTTCAGGCCAATCTCCCTTATGAACATTGATGCAAAAATACTTAACAAAATACTTGCAAACCGAATCCAAGAATACATCAAAGATATTATCCACTATGACCAAGTAGGCTTCATCCCAGGTATGCAGGGGTGGTTCAATATACAGAAATCCATCAATGTGATCCACCATATTAAAAAAACTGAAAGAAAAAAAACCACATGATAATCTCCCTAGATGCTGAAAAAGCATTTGACAAAATCCAACATCCATTCATGTTTAAAGTATTGGAGAGATCAGGGATACAAGGCACATATCTAAACATAGTAAAGGCGATATACAGCAAGCCTATAGCCAACATCAAACTGAACAGAGAGAAACTTAAAGCAATCCCACTGAAATCAGGGACAAGACAAGGCTGCCCACTCTCTCCATATCTCTTCAACATAGTGCTGGAAGTCCTTGCTAGAACAATAAGACAGTTGAAGGAGATCAAGGGGATACAGATGGGAAAGGAAGAAGTCAAATTATCACTATTTGCAGATGATATGATAGTATACATGAGTGACCCCAAAAACTCTACCAGGGAACTCCTACAGCTGATAAACACCTTCAGCAAAGTGGCCGGATACAAAATTAACTCAAAAAAAGAAGTAGCACTCCTGTATACAAAAGACAAAAGGGCTGAGAAAGAAATTAGGGAAACAACACCCTTCACAATAGCCACAAATGACATAAAGTACCTTGGTGTAACCCTAACCAAGCAAGTCAAAGACTTGTATGAAAAAAATTTCAAGTCTCTGAAGAAAGAATTAGAAGAAGATATGAGAAGATGGAAAGATCTCCCATGCTCATGGCTTG